GAATGGGTAATTTTCCTCCAAACTGAGCCTTTGGGAATTTAGTTTCTTACAAGAAAGACTGACCCATTTTCTGAAGGGACAGGAGCTGGGGCGGGCTCGTGTTTCCCCTGGAGGACTGTTGGGACTCAGACCTTGTCTTGAGCCAGTCCCTGAGACCTCACTGTGGCCTTGGGCCAGGAAATGAGGATGTGGTCATGCCTTGTAGAGAAGGAGGACATGGAAAGAGCCCATACTGGCAGCCAGATGGAAGTCTCATCTCACCCTGGCCACTTTACTCTTCCATAATGTTCAGACAGATCACTTACTCCCTTCCCTGGCCTCCATTTTTCTTACTGGTACAGTAAATCTTGTAATCTTCCCGGAAGGGGTGCTCCAGCTGTCTGAAGGCCTTGAGCCAAGTGCAAGGTGAAGATTGTGTTTCTTAGAGCCCTGTCTTGGGCACAGGTGGTATGAGGACTCTTATTTGTCCCAACTGGATCTTACTGAGAAGATAAAAGCCTGAATTGTGGCAGGTGAGGTTGGACATCTCTGTCAGGGTCAACAAATCTAATGTAGTCCTCAAGTGACCTCAAAAGAAGGATTGGTGCTTCATGATGGAAAATTTACATGGCTATGGCTGGATTCCAGATATTCCTGGCCTTCTGCATAACTTGGGTTGCATAACTTGCTAACTTACCTGCAGTTATTTTTACATGGTATTTACCCTACATCTTTTCTGAAGAGAATTAGCTCTGAAAGTTCATAATCTGCTGTGTAAATAATGTGCCTCCCTTTTTTCTTCTATAAGGTGTTGTCTTGTACTCTAGAAATTTCAGGAATCGTCTACTGGTGTCTACATCATTTTACTGAATTGAAAATTTATGCCTGGTATTTAGCTTGCCTGTAAACAGAGTGTGCTATTTTTGTGGTTTTTTCTGAATACCTTTCCAAATCTTTTTCCTCATTATAATTTGCTCTTTCATCTTCATTCTTTTCCTTGTTGCTTCTTTCAGCCTAGGAAGGCCCTGTGACCTGAGATCAACAGTGCTGGGGGAAAGGCTGCTTTGATGAGTATTTTGACTCAAATCTGGAAGTTAAAAAAAAGCTTAGCCAGGTGCTGGTGGCTCATGCCCATAACCCTCACTACTCAGGAGGCAGAGATCAGCCCCCCTCTACTGGGAGGGAGGCGCCATGTTGAAAAACCCATCACAAAAAAGGGCTGGCGAGTAACTCAAGCAGTAACAACACTCCCTAGCAATTGTGAGGCCCTGAGTTCTAACCCTGGTGCTGTGAAAGGGGGGAAAAACAAACTTAAATGTATCTATGATTTATTTTCTAAAATACATAGCTAATTCTTTCTTAGGAGATACTGGATTTGGACTCAGCATTGTGCTTGCTAGGCAAGCGCTCTATCACTTGAGCCACACTCCCAGCCCTTTTTGCTTTAGTTACTTTTTAAATAGGGTCTCATGTATGCTTAGGCCAGCTTGCACTATGATCCTCCTAATTATGCTTCCTGCATAGCTGGGATGACAAGCGTGTACCACCATGTCCAGCTTTATTCTATTTAGATGGGGTCTCATGAACTTTTTGCCTAGGCTGTTCTCAAACTGTGATCCTCTGGATTTTCACCTCCCAAGTAGCTAGGCTTACAGGCTTGAGCCACCCACCACACCCGACAATGACGACTACTTCTTTTCCTACTTCAGGTACTTGTGTAATACGCTGTAAGTGTCCAGTTGAGTTCTCCTGCCTCTTGCAAGGTAGCCCATAGCAAAGAGGTTGAGGTAGCCTGAGATGTACTGAATCAGATCTTCATAGTGCTCCCAAGATTTGCTCAAAAACTCATTTGAACAGAGCTGACCTGAGGAGGGTGTGGACCTGGGGTTAGGTCTGGACAGTTGGAAATTATTCATGCCATGTGACCTGGAGTGTGATAAAACTCTAAGGAGTAAGAACTGTCTAGGAAGTATAAGAAGGCCATTCTTTCTGCTGCCTGGGTGGTGGAATTCTGCAGGGGTAGATGTGTGTGGGGCCTGGAGGGTGAGGGGAGATGGGTGGTGATGGGAGGCTATTTACTGGGTGAGCCACGGGTACCTATGTCACTTTCTCACCTTCCATGCTCTCGAGATGTGCAAAGGTTTGGGGAGTTGGAGTAAAAACAAAGCTGGGATGGGGGGTGTGTGCCTGTAGTCCCAGCTATTCCAGAGACTGAGGCAGGATGATTGCTTGAGCCTGGGAGTTCAAGGCCAGCCAACAATGCAACACCCTGTCTTTTAAAAATACAGGAACAAATAAACAAAACAAACAAACAAACCTAATAGAGCCTTGGCGTCCTTGAAGGTTGGGTTCCAGGTCTCCCATTGCAGACCTGGACTCTGTGTGACCTGCACATCCTCCTGTGCACTTTAACACGTGTGGGTCACTTACAATACCGAACACAGGATAAGCGCTATGGGAATAGCTGCACTGCATTTTTAAGGAAGAACAGTGGGAAAGTCGTATGTGCTCAGTACAGGCACATTTTTTAAACAAATGTATTTGATCTGTGGTTATGGGGAGCTTCACTGTAGGGCTTACTTACTGTGTGTCAATAGCTGAACCTGTTTAGCAGTAGTAAACACAAAGGCACTGGGTCAGGTTTAAGAGACATGAAAAGAACTATGAATTCTTGTTGGTATGATCTGGGCTGTTTCACTTCATTTTTAGCATAACAATTACTCTTTCACCTTGGAACTATTTGTTAGAACCTAGTGAACTTTAAAAAATCCACTTCTGCTGGGCACTGGTGGCTCACACCTGGAATCCTGGTTACTCAGGAGGCAGAGATCAGAAGGATCATGGTTCGAAGCCAGCCTAGGCAAATGGTTCCTGAGAGCCTATCTCAAAAAAAATCCATTACAAAAAAGGGCTGGCAGAGTAGCTCAAGGTGTTGGCCCTGAGTTCAAACTCCAGTACTGCCAAAAAATAAAATAATAAATAAAAATAATCCATTTCTAGTTTTAAAAAATAAATATTGCTCAATTTAAAGAATCAGCTTGTTTCAGAGCTGGCAGAATAGTGGCCGCCATTGGAATCCCATAGTCCTGGCTGCAATTCCATCTCTGCCCTGACTGTTTCCTCAGATCTAAAGTGAGAATAAAAGTAACAGTGCCTCAGGCTCCCCCCCCCCCTTGTAGAGTTAACCTAATAAGAAAATCCTTCAATGTGTTGCTAGTCTACTTTCTTGCATTGGCTTTCAATGTCAATCTTGTCACAATGGTTGTTCTTGTGCAGGTCCCATTTCAGTGGTGCTAGAGTCTTGGAGTTGTCGCTGACAAGCATTTCCTTACTCTTTTCTTTGTTCCTCTGTAGCCCACTGCCTGAAACCCTTTGGCATTTCACGGAAATGCTGTTTGCATTTTTTTCCAACATACACTTGAGATTCTGAGCTTTGACAGAGGTACTCACCCATGAAGCCCTTGCCCAGATCCACACAGGCATCCAAATGCCTACCTCCATCACTTTTGGATTTCTCAGTCCTAGATAGTTCTGCCTGTTCTTGAAGTCAATATCAGTGAAATCTTGGGGGCTGGGATAGAGCTCAGTGGTATGTCTAGCATGCAAAAGACTCCGGGTTTCAATCCCAGCACTGAAGGAAAAGGAAACCTTTAAATGAAATTTTGGTCTGACTTGCCCTCAGTGTAGTGCTGCTGGTGATGATTGCTTCCCTTTTTATTTCTGACGCCACACTGTTGTAGGATGCACTATTTGCTAACCCATCCTCCTGTTGATGGTGTTTGTTCTCAGGTTTTGGTTATAAATTTTTTCATCTTTATCTCTCTGCATATGTACAGTGTCTCTTCTACTTCCTAGCCCTGCAGCCCTGAGCAAGCATCATAATCTCTCTGCTTCAGTTTGCTTATCTATAAAACAGTGAGTCAGGAAATAATTTAGGATTGGGACCAGAGGGTTTCTCTTTTTTCTTCAGTACTGGGGTTTGATCTTAGGGCCTCACACTTGCCAGGCTAGCACTTTATCACTTGCCACACCCCCAGCTCTTTTTGCTTTAGTTTACTTTCCAGACAGGGTCTCATGTTTTTGCTTGGGGCCAGCTGTCCTCCTGCCTCTGCCTCCCCATAGCTAGGATTATAGGTGTGCAGCATCATGCCAGCTTATTTTTTGAGAGTGAATCTCACTACCTTTTTTTTTGTCTGGGCTGACCTTGAACTGCGATCCTCCCATCTCTGCGTCCAGAGAAGCTAGGATAAGACCAGCATTGTTAAAAAAATGAAATAGAATAGAAATTTAGAGCGAATGTCATGGAACTGTATACAATACTATATATATATATATAGAGAGAGAGAGAGAGAGAGTAATGTGTGCATGTGTGTTTATTGGATCACAATATAAAATATATTTCCTGCCAGGTGCAACAAATTACAGGCTAATACCTGTAATCCTAGCTACTCGGGAGACAGAGATCATTAGGATCCTGGTTTGAGGTCAGCCCCAGAAAATAGTTCTCAAGACCCTATCACCAAAATACCCAACACAAGAAAGGGCTGGTGGAGTGGCTCAAGTGGTAGAGCACCTGCCTAGCAAACGTGAGGTCCTGGGTTCAAACCCCAGTTTAAGAAAAAAATACATGTTGTTATGATTTGTAGGTAAATCAGTTAGCAAAGCACTGATTTGTATGTACCCTTGTAAGCAAAGTAGTTACACAGTCATTAGATTATTCAGTCATCCTACTGCTGCCCTTGCTCAGGTGTTTAAAACAACAATGATGTTAACTATCACTTACATAGTGTTTGACTTGGGCCAGGCATGATTTTCAGAGCTTTGTATACAAAGTTGAGCATTCCCTACACCCCTCCTTTGAAGTAGGTTATTATCCCCACTTGCCAAAAGTCAAGGAAGGACCATGATTTGAACTACAGCTGTCTTCCTGGGGAGACAAAAAAGCAAATAAAATGAATTTTATATGCAAATGTAAATTAATAATTATCTAATTAGGATAACACTTCTCTCATTTCAGATATGAGAAATGAGTGTTGGACGTCGAAGAATAAAGTTGTTGGGTATCCTGATGATGGCAAATGTCTTTATTTATTTGATTGTGGAAGTCTCCAAAAGCAGTAGCCAAGAAAAAAATGGAAAGGGGGAGGTAATAATACCCAAAGAAAAGTTCTGGAAGATATCTAGCCCTCCCCAGGCATACTGGAACAGAGAACAAGAGAAGCTAAACAAGAGGTACAACCCCATCTTGAGCATGCTGGCCAACCAGACAGGAGATGCATATGGGCCTTCCAACATAAGCCATCTGAATTACTGTGAACCTGACCTGAGAGTCATGTCAGTTGTGACAGATTTTAACAATTTGCCGGACAGATTTAAAGACTTTCTTCTGTACTTGAGATGTCGAAATTATTCAATGCTTATAGATCAACCAAATAAATGTGCAAAGAAACCCTTCTTACTGCTGGCGATAAAGTCCCTTACGCCACACTTTGCCAGAAGGCAAGCAATTCGGGAGTCCTGGGGCAGAGAAAGCAATGTGGGAAACCAGACAGTGGTGCGAGTGTTCTTGCTGGGTCAGACCCCTCCTGAGGACAACCACCCTGACCTTTCAGATATGCTGAGATTTGAGAGTGAGAAGCACCAGGACATTCTGATGTGGAACTACAGAGATACCTTCTTCAACCTGTCTCTGAAGGAGGTGCTGTTTCTCAGGTGGGTGAGCACCTCCTGCCCTGACGCTGAGTTCGTTTTCAAGGGTGACGACGACGTTTTTGTGAATACTCATCACATCCTGAATTACTTGAATAGCTTATCTAAGAATAAAGCCAAAGATTTGTTTATAGGTGATGTGATCCACAATGCTGGACCTCATCGGGATAAGAAACTGAAGTACTACATCCCAGAAGTCGTTTACTCCGGAGTCTACCCACCGTACGCAGGGGGAGGCGGATTCCTCTACTCCGGCCACTTGGCCCTGAGGCTGTACAGTATAACTGACCGGGTCCATCTCTACCCCATTGATGATGTTTATACTGGAATGTGCCTTCAGAAACTCGGCCTCGTTCCAGAGAAGCACAAAGGCTTCAGGACATTTGATATCGAGGAGAAAATCAGGAATAATATTTGTTCCTATGTAGATCTGATGTTAGTACACAGTAGAAAACCTCAGGAGATGATTGATATTTGGTCACGGTTACAAAATGCTCATTTAAAATGCTAAAATATATAAGAGCTAAATTTTGCACAGAAAGGTGTATCTTGACTAGTTCCCAAGTTGCGTTCTCACATTAGGGTGATTTCTATGTGACAACATCAGAATTGCCTTCTTAAGTAGCCCTTCGATTTGGTACTTTTGTGATGAGGGAAGACAGGAGATGGTAAATTTTATGGCAAATGTGGTAGGAAGGTCGGTTCTGACCCTTCCTCCCAGCTGGTGGCCATTATTTTTCTAATTTGTCCCCTTTCTCGTCTGAAATCATAAGTGTCTAGAATTTGACTTTTTTTTAACTTACTTTTCATTTTGCCCTTCTACGTAATGCTCCTGCTTTCATTGTGATGACTGATTTACCTGTAATCTGGGGGTTTATGAACCTATTGGCTACTGAGATTATGTTCCACATTTTCAGTGACTTCTGTGCAATGGAATTGCATTTATTTTCAGGAGATTTGGATACGTTTTTTAAATTGCCTAGAAAATGGACTTCTGTGAAAATTCTCTGCCACCCCAACAGTATTCTCTTATGTTCATATAATCAGTTAATTTTGCAAAGAGAGAATCACTGTGTAACAAATCCAGTGTGTCTTGCGGTCTTAAGTCATAAGGAGAGAGATGGTTTGATTTTTCTTAAATGGGTAGTATCATCATAGTTATCTAATTTTAGTATTTTGAAAATTCATGAGTATGGCTCCATAATGGCTAACTGAAGGTTGACCTGCCCCTGGCAGCCACATGGGTTAAAGAATTTTCAATGTGGACCAAGAAAGCATATGTGATTTTTGAACTTGAATTGTAAAGATTGAAGTTACAGACGTTTTCTTAAGCGGTTTGTCAATTTAAAACTCCAGGATTTTATTCTTGCCGTATTTTCATATGTTGCTCTCACAAATTATTATTCTGAGTAGTGATTGCTTCTCTGCCTCAGTGTAGAAGTGCCTGTGTTTTTATTTATTGTTCAGATCAAAGACCAAAACATTTTCTTAAATATATTTTGTGTAATATTTTATTTGTATACGGTGTTGTTGATGAAATATTTAACTAGAGCATGATATTTTAAATGTTAAGGTGTAACATGTTAAATAAAACTGTTATTTTTGAATTTTAAAATTTGTTGTTTGCGGTAAGGATTTACTAGAGTTAATAAAATTCTGCCAAACTATTGCTTAATTGTACTATCTTGTAACAAGCTTTCTTGAAATATTTTTGTTTGTAGAGATGAGGATTCTTACCAGATGCAATCCAAGGGCCTGTTAAAAAGTGGAAATAAAAATCACTGTATTTTTAATTGTCATTTGTAATAATCTGTCTGTTTTGTTTTTGTATATTTGATTACATTTTTTTCCGAAGAGATCATTTTCCTCAGGGACCAGTACAGTAACTTTGAACTATAAATCTTTCTCTGTTTCAGTAGGTCATCTCTCTTTGCATTTCACATCTCAAAAGTGCTTTCTCACTTGGCGCCAATAAAGAGAAGTTGTTAGTATGTATTTATGTTTCTAGTTTCACTGAGTATAAAAAACTTAGCTAAGTACAGAATCATTGACTGGATAATCCTAAACCAGTTCCATTTAGACATTTGTAGTCACCATGATGAAAGATAGAGACAGCTTGACCACTTAAGTTTCTTTCAGAGACTCGTGAGGAGCAGACATTACAAATGTCCAGTTAAAACAAGTAGACATTTGATGGAGCTTAAAAAAGCAGAAGGACTGGTGGTGTAAGATTTAGCAAACTGTCTTGTCCTGCGTGTAACATGATGGCCACTTAAGAGCAGATGCACGTTCAGGGAGCCTTGACATAGGTTTGAAGGCTGTTGTTAACTCTGGTCTTTCTGAAGGTTTCTGGTCTTTCTGAAGTCAGACCTGCATCTGACTTCTGCTGTCTGATAGTTGCTAGCACATCTCCCAAAGAACCACATACTAGGTTTAGACTGGGAGAAAGTAGCACCGAGAACATTCACAGGTACTTGTCCTTAATTCCCTTCTGTCCTTATAGTTTGACCAGGCAGTCTTAGGTAATAGATTTCTCCTCTGAGGGAAATTCCCTCTAATTTTCTAAATGGAAATTCTTCTTCCCTGTAGTTTCAAGTCTCCTGCAGAGAAAGAAGTGATACCAAGTTTTGGAGGTTCACTACAGGTGTTTTGTGAGCCTGGGGGTTGTGTTGTGCTGTGTTTGACTGTGAGTCTTGGCACTGACAGTATTTAGGTGGTGTGATCTCAGGTCCTTCTTTATTTAACCTTGTGAGCCCACAACCCTCATTGTTGCTGTGCTGTGCGATTAACCTCGTGGGCTTTGGAATTCCAGGCTTTGGAGCTTCACGTGTGCTTGGGTCCATGTGGTATGGACTGACCTTAATCCAGGGTGTCTGCTGATCCTCCGTCTCATGAGTGTGTAAGTACCTCAAGTCTAATTCATTCTTTAGATTTCTTTACAAACTGAGGCCTCAGCGGACATGGGTATTGGACTTTTTCATGGCTACGCTTACTGAAGGTCAAGAAGACTGGATAGCATTGTCAGGGTGTGGAGTTTTCATGAACCCCTAAGAGGAAAAGTATAAAAGAGATCAGAGCAACTTCTTCCCAGTCCGGACACTAGTTATATTCATCTTTCTTGAGTTGGTCAAGAGATTGGAAAGGAAGGACAGGAAGTTGGGGGAATGCTCAGTTACACCTGGAAGTTACGTCCAGAGTTACACACCTGGCTCCTACTTCTCCACTTCTGATTGGTAATGATGAATATTTGATGATCTGAGTCATCTTCACCCTTCAGAGGCAGGAAGGGATGAGGACTTATTTTCACTTCCTGCAAAGGTGAAATGAATGAATGCTTTACTTGGCACAAAAGTTAATTTGTGCTTTATCTTCCGTTTTTTTTGGCAGTACTTGGTTTAAACTTGGGGCCTCACGTTTGCTAGGCAGGTGCTTTACCACTTGAGTGTGATTTACCTTCTGATGAAAAATGCCAAAGACTGGAGGCATAGCTCAGTGGTAGAGAGCTTACCTGTTATACATGAGACCCTGGATTCTATCCGCAGCACCACAAAATAAAAGTACTTTTTAAAAAAGAAAAAGGGAAACTGTTGATTAAATAACTTACTTAGAACAGGAGCAACAGCAAAGACAAACTCTTCGTGTTTGAGGGCTATTGAGGTTAAGTTAATTTTTTCCTTAATAAAAAAAAAATATATATATAATATATATATATATTTATGGGAGAGCAGACACTTGCAAAGCAGGCACTCTACCATGTGAGCCACATCTCCAGTCTGTTTTATTCTGGTTATTTTAGAGATGGGGGTCTTGTGAACTATTTGTCCCTGCTGGCCTCAATCTCAGCCTCCCAGTTAGCAAGGACATGTGCCACTGCACCTGACTCCCAATTGCAGTATTAAATGTGAAATATTACATCTCAAGATAATTAAAATACAGCAGTAGAGTCTATATAGTTCCTGTACTTTAAAAACCTTGAAATTGAAAGATGGAATCTTAGAGTGTGGTGGTACACAACTGTAATCCCAGCATTTGGGAGGCAAAGGTAGGAGGCTCAAAAGTTTGAGGACAGGTGAGGCAACAGAGTGAGATGCTGTCTCAAACAAAAAGCAGAGAGATAGAGTCTTGTTAATGAGCACTTCCTGCTTCTCTGTCACTTTGGTCTGTGTTCAGGAGTTTTTGTCCCAAACACCCACCTTGGCTTGAGCTTTGGCAGGTCCTTTCTCCCTATTGTGGTTGTGAAAGGGGATGTATTGATTGCACTGAAGCAGCACAACTCTTTTGATTTGGTTATAGTCTAAGATGAACAAAGGGGCTTACAGCTTACTGGTAGCTGCCCCTCCCCCGGGGGTTCTTGATCTTCCCACTCCAGCAATAAGCCACTTGCAGAACTTGCAGGCCAAGTGTCTATAGCAATGACTCACCTCACTGCCCCTAAACTTTCCATCCTGTGACTTGCCCTTCCATCCTGTCAACTAATTCTCACCTTTGTGCTTATTCCCAAACACTCCCTGAAACTGGCTTCCTGAGCCGTTCTACTGACATGTCTTGAATAACCCTAATCTAGGATCTGGGACATGACGTCAGTCCTCTCTTCTTTAAGAATACAACATCAAAAGAATGGAAAATAAACTATCCTACCCTCGGGTTGAGTTCTTCCAGAAGCAGAGGATGAGGATTCTGGCGGAAGTCATGTTTTGGGAAGTGACACTGGGGAGGGAAGGCATCCAGTGAGACTGCATGTGAGACACTTGGGCTAGAGCTCAGACCCTTGGGGAAGTTGGACAGCAATGCAAGATGCAGGCTCGTGAGCTGGTTTCTGTAACTACTTTATAGAGGCATAATTTCTCCCCCATTGCATTCACCCATTTAAAGTGTACAGTGAGGAGCTGGGGGTGTAGCTTAATGGTAGGTGCTTGCCTAATTTGGGCAAGCCCTGGGCTCCATTCCCCCAGCACCACGAACCTCCCAAAAAGCATAAAGTCCACAGTGGTTTTTAGTAGATAGAGTTATGCAGCAGCTACCTCAACAATCCACTGCAGGACCGATTTGGTTGTGATGCATAACCAATCTATCAGCTTTCTATAGAAATTTTTATTTTAACCATCTTTTTTCTTTAAAAAAAAATTCCAGAACAATGCCTTGTTTTCTGATTATTCCTCTTTCTATAGGAGCCTGCTCTTCATGCATACAAGGACTCCTTATAAGGAAACAAATTAAACTTTGATTTGATAATTTTTAATGAGTTATCTCAGGGCTTAGTGATGCTGTTCTCCCCAATTTTTCTTTCTTTCTTCCTCCCTTCCCTTCCTTTCCCTTCTTTCCTCTTCTCTCTCTCTCTCTTTTTTGGTTGGTGGGATGGGAGTGAGCAGCGGCTCACTATGTAGCCAGGCCAGCCTCAAGTATTTGATCCTCTTGCCCGAGCCTCCCATGTGCTGGGAGTACACCAGCCGCCATGCCCAGCTCTCCCTGGCCATTTTCGTGAATGAAGGACTAAACCGATTTCTAGAAGTTGCTGGAACGTCTTTCTTTTTCAAGGATGTCAACCCAAAAGACATCCTGCCGTGGAAGGCTGAAGAAGGATCTCACTGAGTGAGTGACATGGTTTTCTTTCATGGACTGAGCAGGTGGCCTTGACCCCAGAGCCTGGAGCTGCCTGCTTTCCTCTTTGCTCTGGGTCAGTTTTGGGGTGCTCCAACACTGTGCCTCCACTCATTTAAGGAACATTTCTTATAGGAAGCATCTGAGCTGATGCTCAGTTCAACTTGGGCGTTTGTGTGAACACATGCGTGTGCAAGGATTTGTGTGTTGGGGGGCTGGACGACTTGGCCAGCCCCCTGGGAAGGCTGACCCCCTGCACTCTTTGTGGATTCCTCTTCCATTTGTCTAACACTTGGATCTCTTTCCTCGCAGGGTGCTTTTAGTGGAGAGGAGGCAGTCATTTCTGACTGTCCACTCTCTTGAACTGAGAACCCAGCATTTTTTTCTTGTCATTCCAGACCTCTGTAGCAGTTCACCACACTGACCACTCCACCTAGACGCTCTCCCTGCTCAGTGAGAGGCATCCATTGTCTGGGTTCTTAAGCCCTTGCCTGAAAGCCTCCTTTGGCTCATTGACTCTGGCTGACATCCTGGTTCTGGCTCCTCATGCTGGCCCTACAGCCTTTGCCTGGGCCTCTCCCTTGGATGTCTCCTGCCAGGCTCTTCCGGGTCATCCCTGTGAGCATCCTCCCCCCAGCATGGCCACCTTTCCTTCCTTTCTGAGTCAGGCTGCTTGTCATCATCTTCTGTGAGGGGTTGTCATCCCCTAAACCAGTGAGGACGCATCCCACTTTTCTTCCTGCCTCCCCAGCTCTTAGGGGCCTATGATCTCACTGTCCCCAGCACGTCAGGAGACAAGCCAGCTCCCTCCTGTTGCTTCCACTTGTGCAGAACCTGCCTGTCTGGCTTCTCCCCCAAGCCTGGCAGATTCTGAGGGTCCCACGTGTACATTGCATGGATTTCTCATGCTGGTCAAGCCCCACCATGGCCTCTTGCCCCATCTCCACCCTGTCAAATCGTCCCTTTCTAAAGCCCCCAGCCCAGGGGAGACCCATTTGTAAGAAATGGAACGGGTTCCGTTTTATCTAAGGTGTATTTTCCCCTGATGTAAATAAAAGGACTGTCCCTTGGCTGTTGATCCACCCACCCCCTGCAGTCCTGGGGATCTGCATGCCAGGCAAGCCACTCTACCACTGATCATGCTGATCAAATCAGGGTAATTGACAATGCTATCTCATTATTTTGTGTTTGGAGTCTTTGAGCGCCACTCTTCTAGTCATTCACAAAGCATATACTGTTACCGTGAATGCTGGTCCCCCACTGCCCTGCACAGTACTAACTCTTTGGGTACTAGTTATCCAATCTCCCACTATTCTTTGAGCTTCCAAAAAGCACTGT